GTATATATATATATATATATATATATACGGAAAAAAAGAACACCAAAAACCTGCCAACAAGGTACTTAACATTAATGGAGATCTGACACAGAATAGTGAGGAAACAGCATAGGTGCTTAATGAATATTTTCTATCTGTGTTTAAGAAAGAATTGGATGAGGATGTTTTAATTTTGAGTGAGGCTGCACGGTCTTTGTTTAGGACTGAAGAAGGAAACTGAGTACTTAATGTAAATGATGATAGCTATAGCCAAAATGAAATTTTAGATTTGGTCGTAAATGAAGGTGAGATGTTTCAGTTGATGAAGCAGATAAATGAATTCAAATCCATGGGACCTGATAATATCCATCCAAAGATACTGAAATTGGTAGCAGATCAACTAGCAAAGCTTTTAACAATAATTTTTAACAAGTCTGTAGAGTCAGTAAAACTACCACATGGTTGGAGATCACCTATTGTGACTGCAATTCATAAGAAGGGAGACAAGAAACTTGTATCAAATTATAGACCAATTTCTCTCACTTCACAGGTGGTTAAATTATTGGAGAAACTTATTAGAAAAAGGATAATGGATCTACTTGAAAGGTTAAAAATAATTTCAAACTTGCAACATGGTTTTGTACTGAGAAGATCACGTTTTACTAATTTAATTGAGACTTTGGAAGACTCGACATTGCTATATGATGAAAGAGCACCTTTTGATGTTATATTTCTTCACTTTAGCAAAGCATTCGTTTCTTTCCCTCGTAGAAGATTACTACTTAAGTTAATCGAGTATGGTATTACAGGAAATATCTATAATTGGATTGAAGCATATCTCATTAATAGATTTCAATGTGTTTCAGTCAGTGGAGAAAAGTTGGGTGGAAGAAGGTTATTAGTGGTGTTCCCCAGGGCTCAGTGCTAAGACTGATCTTGTTTGCTATATTCATTAATGATATACCTAAGAATATCAAATCATCATGCAAAATCTTTGTTGATGATTCTAAAATATATAATTCAGTAAGAACAAAAGATCAGGTTGAAAAATTAAGGTCCAATCTCAAAATATTACCAAATTGGTCAAAGGAGTGGATGTTAGATTTTAATATTGAAAAGTGTTAGGTTATGCAATCCGGAATAAGTAATACCAAGCAATATTATTTCATGAATGGGGTTAAGCTGACTGTTACAGATATTGAAAAAGATTTAGGGATATTACATTCTTCAGACTTGAAAGTCCAGTGCAATATTTCAGAAGTTACTAGGAAGGCCAACCAAACTCTTGGAATCACAAGATCTTCCTTTGAGTTTCTGGATGCTGAGACATTTTTGATATTATATAAGACCACATTTGGAGTGCTGTACAAGCTTGATCATCGTACCTAAACAATATTTATGGCTTGGAAAGAGTGCAAAGAAGAGCCACAAAACTGGTTTCTGAGCTAAAGGATAAAGCATTCATTATGAAGAGAGACTAAATAGATTAAATCTAACAACACTGGAGGAGAGGAGACATAATAGAGACCTTTAAGATTATCAAGAGATTTTAAAATATAAATGCTGAAAAATTTCTACCTGTAATAGAGCAATATAAGAGCTTACTCATGGTTTAAAGTTTCTGAAAGTCTGAGGGTAAATAGGAGAATGAAATTTGCAGTGCTTTTTGCTGTTTAATGAGTATAACTTCAAACAAAATATTGTAATAAGGAAATAAGAAGAAATTTCTATGTACAGCGTAGTAGACAAATGGAATGAAATAGTCAATCATGATAGATATTCTGGAGGCAATGTCGGTGAATGCTTTTAAGAAAAAATATGATTATTATAAAGACTATCAATCTCAAGCATCTAATTATTAAAGTAAAAAAAGAACTAAGTATAAATAGTGATAAATTGTTATTTGTGGAGAGGTGGGCAACAAGCAGTAATAAGTGCACTCAAATTCGCTTATTATTACTTAGATGTTGTACTGTCTTACTGTTTAACTTTTTTGCATCATTGTACATTGTTTCAGCTCAATTGTTGTTTAGAGCTTGAGAAGAAAGAAGTTTTTAATATTTTTATAATAATTAATCTTTAACAAAATTCTTAAGTATAATTATTGATAACATTAATAAACTTTTAACTTAAAACTTACCTTTACATCCTACGATGAAGTTGTACTTGAGCAATATTTGTTAGTGGATCTCTGATGTGTCTGACATTATTTTGACAAGTCTTTTTTCAGGTTAACTCATAAGTAACACTTTTCTTTGATTAATTAGTTACCATATTTTCACAGAAGGGGCAAGAAGATTGTAAGACTAGAAGAAAGGAAACAATCGAATAGAGAAAAGAAAGTGTTCCTAAATGGTACTGAGATTTGCTACCTGGTGGTCATTCGAGAGAAAAATTATTTTCATAGCTTGTCCTTGGTGATATTTTCTAACTGATACAGAGGTAAATAGTTGAATATTCTAATTGCTTGTATACTTGTTAGCATTTAAGATCAATGCACCTGTTGTTTGTGACAAGCAGAAACAACCTGTGGCTAGTGCTCGAAATGTTGGTGGTTATTATTAACTTCTGATCAAAGAAAGCTACTTTCTAAGATCAAAACTAAAAATCAAGCTAGTAATGAGCATAGCTTATTGAATATACTTTTCTTATATTCTTATTTATAATATAAGAATGCATTGTTTCATCAGTTGGATACTCTCACTATTGATGAAATTTTTGGCTTTTAAGACCTTGTAATGTCCAATGTAAGATAGTCCTAAATCCATATATTAAGCTAACAATGTAAAACAATCTATAATAGAAAAATTAAAAATGATAAAAACAGGTATGTTCTAATACTGTTCATGATAGTAACATTAAAGAAAGAATGTACTTCACTCATGGAATGCTCAAACACTAGTTGTTAGCTTCCAGTAATGTTGTAGATTTAATGTTCGTTGAACAACGTAACATCAGTATGACCATGTTTAAGCAATACTTTCACAGTCCCCCCCTAAAAACATCTTGTGACCAATGAAAACTCATTAAACAACTTTTGTTAGAGGAGCTTGCTGTCTGGGACAAATTGCAAGAACATATGTTGTTGTTTATGAGAGGAGCCAAGTAGCAAGACTGTACCGATAATACAGCCTTAAACTAAGAAAACATAGAACAGTTGTATAGTAAGTATTGATTAACTGTATATAGTAAGAACTTAAGCTACCAGAAGGAAAAAAAATGGGGATAAATACACTGAAGCAATTCAATATTACCTTAAGCAAGTTAATAAATTAAAATGTATACATGAAAGTCTGATAGGATTGTAATATTCTAAAAAAATTTACACTAATAGTTATTAGCAAGAATATTGTTGAATTTCTCATGAGGTTGAATGATTTTTTTAATTAAAATGTGATAGGAAAATCCTTGTTTGTGAAAAATACAAATGAGTTTATGAGCTCTGTACATGAAGTCTTGTAATGTTGAACAAATTCTGCTGTACTTAATAAGCTGTGAGTAGTAAGTATTGACATTAATTATTTTGAAATGTAAGGTTTATGAGTTTTTTAAAAAGTGAAAGAATCCATTTTATTTCAAACTTTGAACTTGAATGTTTGATTCACAATTTCCTTACCCCAGGAAGGTTGTTTTTTGTTTTAGTGATTTTTATAATTTCCAGAGTGAGTAGTAGGGGATAAGATGATCAGAAAACGTGAATAATTGGGAATACAAACATTATAAATATATCTACAAGTACTACTGAATTGTGCTAAGATTTATTATAATCTTTTTGTATTTCACTATGATTTGTTAGATATAAAAATTCATTTTCAACTAAATATTGTTACGTCTCTGTTCGTTTGTTAATTTTCTGTAGAAATTCTTTCCCAGAAACTTTAGCGACACAAGTTCTTTCTTAAATAAAACTGGTTTATTCTTTCTCAATATAACTTTGCAAAACACTTAAGTTCCACAGTCACTTTAACTTAAACACACGCTATAATTCACAACAATTCACGCACTTTACATATGGTAACTACCGCGCTTGACTCAATTGTCCATCTCTGTCTGTCTGCAATTATCTATATGCCGTCACTTCATTTGCCAGCTTATATATATATAAAACAAAAATAGAGGGCGTGTAGAAAAGACTAGAGTTGCCACGAACAGACGTGATCCTTCTAGAATCTCATGACGTGTTGCTAGCGTCACGTGACTTCCACTGTCGTAGCAATATAAATATACAGTTTTGGGCTGAAGTTTTCTCCCATTGGAATTCCTTGTATTTATTGGAAGACATTTTGGACAAATTGCACAAATGTGTTGTTAAGTAAAACAAAATGTAACATGCAAGAATTTATTTAGTTTAAAACAGCAGTGATTTTTATGATTGACAATGTCAATAAAACATCTGTGTTTAACATATTTCATAAACAAAGATTACACCCTAGCCAAGAGTATTACTACCAAAGTATTTAGTTGAAGTGTTCATTTATTGGTTAAAAAATAAATTAACACAGTAGCCATGTAGTGTTTTACTCTAAAAAGGCTTAAAAAGATTTGCATAGAATTTGCTTGAAGTATATTGTACCTGCATTGTGTATTACAAAATAGTCAGTAATATACTTGTTCATATATCTATAAGGTATAAGTGGTTTAAAAGTGTTTTATTAATTTCAGTCAGTTTTATCCTTGTATTTATTTTTTCATAGATATGAATCCTTCAGCAGCATCAGTGCCTGCAGAACAGACTCCGCTGTTTGGAAATAAGATGCCTGATAGACCACTTTTTGGAGAAACGACTACTAGTGTGAGTTCTTCCTTGAGGTTTTTAACTTGAGATACTGTTAAAATCAAATTAATTTATTCCATATTTGAAGTTGTTAATCCCTTGTACAGTTCAACTGAATAAAGAAAAATCCTCTATTAATTAACACAGAGAAATATAATTAGAAATTAAAACAAACTTGGTTACCTTTAAAATAATTTCTGTTAGGGTTAATTGTTCTTATAGGATAGCATTTACATTAATTATAGGGAGTTTACAAATTGTTTCATCATAAATTACACAACATTTATTATGCTGCATTTGAAATATTTTGTTACAGTGACTCTTTAGCTTAAGTATTTTGAGGTAGTGGTAGGAGATGTTGTTCGTGCCTATAATTTAATTCCTCTACAGTTAATGTTTTTATTGAAGTTGTTTTATAAACATGAATTTTTTTTATGTATACAGAAGTTGAGTACTTATACTAAAATAATTGTTGCTTCACCACCTCATTTCAGTTCATGTTGCCATGTCCAGTTGTGCTCTATCTTAGGACCTTGCATCTAAACAATAGCTCTTCAGTATAGCTTCCATTGCAAAAAAAAAAACTTTTGTAAGGCTGTCACATCCAAAGCTACACTTTCCTGTAAACTTTCCATAATCCATCTAGTGTACAAGGACAATTGTTTTCCAGCACCTATTTCAACAAGCCTGTCACACAGAAATTTATAGGTGCTGCACCTGGAGACTTGACGAGTATGTTTTTGTATCTAATACTACCAATACTCATTTTGTTCTCTAACTGCTTAAGGTATGCTATAGTTGAACAGGTGACAAATATGATTGGAAGCCTTATCATGCTGAACCCATACCCTATTGCCTCGTTTTCTTAAAAGTCCAGTATTTCTGTGTGTTAAAAAGGCTGCAGAACATTGGTCTGATTGTAAGCAGAATTCAGCTTGTTCTATATTTTCTGAACCCTAAATTTCCCCTGGCATGGTATTCAGTAAAAATTATGAATTTATTTGAAAAAGTTTCAATGACATGTTGTTTACCATATTTGGAGGACATTTTCACCCATTGACTGTTATGAAATGGCACAAAAATTATTATACTTTTCAAGGTACACATATACTTCATCGAAAGTCACTTAGTACTACCATTTTTTATGCCTAGGAACAGTCTTTTCCAGTTGTTGTTCCTTTCCTGTTACAAGATGCCACACTTTGTGTACTGTGGATGGGTTATGATTTGTTTCAGGTTTCTTTGTGTATGGTCCCAGTGCCACAAGTTGATATGTATTCCTTTGTTTTTCCTATGCCATCAAGTACAAGTGATACTTGCCTTAGAAATTCCAAATTCCCAATGTGAATACATCTTTATAAGTTCAGTGAATGATTTTTTTGTGTCAGAAAGGGCTGTTACATACTCTTCCAAAAAGCAATCAATTTTTGAAGACATCACACTACATAAAAATTTTAAACAATGTTAAAATGTAGTTCCGATACACGCCATTCTACTGCAACTTTATATTGTCTTTGGTTATCACATGCTTTGCATGTTAACAATTATCTTAATATATTGTACTCAACCCTCTGTTAAAGAATAGTTTTTTGACTAAAAAATGTAGTTTTAAAAATTCAAAAGTATTATTCCAGTTAAATATATCTGTAAAAAGAAGATAATAAATCATCTCTACTACATATTTTAAGCACAGTATACATAATTATGTTAGAAAAATTCAAAATTTCATAATTCAAATTGCACCACATTAATTTTTTTAGCCTAGCATAATTCAAGAGAAATAAGTTACATTCAAATTATTTTTTGTCTTCTTTTACATGTAAATAGTTACATACAACATTTATAGTGCATGTTTGAATTTTATATTAGATAGGTCCATACTTAATCATCTTTGTTGGGATGAGAATATAGAAATAGCCATTTGTTTTTAGAATTTTCTATATTTTGTTCAAGAGAATTTGAACAATTTAATTTTACAAGAATACAGCATGTGGTAAGTATATGTATAGTAGAGATGGCTGATATGGGTATTGAAAACTTTTTTTGAAAAGCACAAGAGAAGTAACAATGCTTCGACCTTTTTAGGTCATCATCAGATTAAGAATGGGATTTGAAAAAGTGACCGTTATTGATCACGAGTTGTGGGAGATGACGATGCTTTTTATTTGAAAAGCACAAAACAAGTAACATTTTGACCTCCTTAGGTCATCATCAGGTTAAGAATGACATTTGAAAAAGTAACTGTTATTGATCACGAGTTGTGGGAGACGACAGTGATCAATAACGGTTACTTTTTCAAATGTCATTCTTAACCTGATGATGACCTAAGGAGGTTAAAATGTTACTTGTTTTGTGCTTTTTCAGCTGTCTATTACAGAATGATAAAAACCCCATAACCTGAGTTTTTTCGAAAGGTGGACATTTCTTCTTCAGAGCAAACTGAAGAAGAAAGGTCCACCTTTTAAAAGTGTTCAGGTTTTGAATTTTTATCATTTTGTATTAAGACTTCTTGAACCTACTTGTTTTTCTGACATCATGAGCTGTCTCTACTTTATATACATTTACTTCAAGTGGGTTCTTCATCATCATGAAGCATATGGTAAGTATTAAATGGCTACTAGGTTTTTAGTTTTTACAAGAATAACCACTTAAGGTGACTAAAAAATAATCGACAGATTTCAAAGAAATGGAAGTGTAAAGCGTGATATCTAAATCAATATCAAATACAAATGTATGAAAAGACTTGCCAACAGTGTAAGTAAATGTAGATTTAGAAAGTTTAAAGTTTTATTGGATGGTAGTTAATTTTAACTCTGTCCCTTTATTAACTTCTGATATTTATTATGTATACTTTTAAACTAAATAGTTTTATAACATTTATTTTAATTTTTTGCAGGGACGTTTCTTGAACTTGATAGTTGGAACAATAACATGTATATTTGTTGCTGTAAGTATGTTTTAGTGCAAAATTTTCTCATATAACATGAAAGGAGTTTGTGTTTTTTTTTATTTTTAATTAAAACCTTTGTTTATACAAAACCAGCAAAGGTACCTGCATCATGTGTGGCATTTATTTCATTTGCTTGATTAAAATTAGTTTCACTTTTAAGTGAACAGACTTTCCCAGAAATATGTTATATGTTATTAAATTCTTCAAAAGGGAAAAATAAGAGAATGAGTAAAAGTGTGAAGTGAATTTTTGCAGCAACAAGATGCAAACCATGAACCATTATATTCACAAGTTATAGTTGTAAATGTGGTTCTCACACAACACTTATCAGAGTGGAGGAGTGAGGCACTAAGGTAGCAGCAAGAGGGAAAGATGAAATGACTGTAAAAAAGGAGGATATGAATAAAGTAAGGGGTTTTACAATCCCACTGGTGCAAATTCAAGAACCTATGAAAGTTTCATAGTAGTCAAAGGCTAGGAAATCATAAAACTTTCATTATGGACAAACGGATACCCATACAAGCCACTTTAACTCACAGTACAGGAACCTATGGTAGGTCACACATCTAGATATGGAGCTTGAATTTCACACTTACAACATCAGCTCACACTGTATAAACAAAGGCCTTAATTAAATGTATGTTAAAATCACTTTGATAATTAGTGATTTTAGTTTTGAATGTTTCTAATTACTTATTAAAATCTATATATATATTTTTAACTGCCCAGAAAAAGTATTTTCGATTTGGCATGGTGCTACATAAAATTAAATATCTAATTGCAACTGTAAAACATATCATTAACAATATTTTACATTGGAGATACATGTTTTTCTATTTTCAACAGGTATACTATATAACATCAGTGTTAGTTTTCAAGAAGTCTACTTGTGAAAATACAAAAACATGTATCAATCTGACAACTGCCCTCCACAGCCATATCTAATTAATATAACTGACTAAAATAGAAAAAAACAACACATTTCTTGAATTTAATAGAAGAATTAGTTATCTAAAACTGTTTAAGTAGGAGAGAATAATACAGATTTCATGTTAAATTTTGTTAATTGTATTTAAAATAAAAATTAGTTACTAAAACCTCATGACATGCACAGTAAAGGATAGCCGGAGCGAAAGGGTTAAACAGATTTAGGTAATTTGTTGTTTTATAAAATATAAGAAACGTGTTATTTTTACTATTTTAGCCAGTTATATTAATATTAGAAGATATGGCTGCAGGGGCAGTTGTCCTACAACTTGTACCAAATATCTTCAAAATTTGGAAATACCTCTAGTGATCTCATTGTGAGGTTTATTACCCTTTATTTATTTTTTAAGTAATTCATGTTCTGCTATATTTTTTTTTAGAATATCTATTACTTATTTTTGTTACCATTAATTCTTCTAACCAATGTTCCTTCTAATTTATCTCTGTACTGGGTAGCCTATAAGCTCCTCTGAGCACTATGTTTCTGTCCAACACTTTTTTGAGCAGCTGTTAGTGCTTATACGCATGCCTTAGTTTTCACATGTTATTGTTCAAATTGTAGGCTTATGTCTTCAACATGAAATTATTACCAACTGATTAAATTGTGAGAATGTTCTGTAACTGCCGGGTTGCTGCTGCACAGCTGTTCACTTGGACATCTTGGAGGGAATGCTACTCCTAAGCCATAATTTTGTAGCATTTGTCGAAAACATTATGACTCAACTGATTGATTTTTCTTGTCCCTGATAAGACCAGGAGTAAATATTTTTCCAGAAACATTACATTAAAAATTTTTTTGTGTGTATCTTCAGTCATAGCTCCTAAAATTCTTCCTAATTTTTCATCATGTTTGACTGGTTGACACCATAGCGTCATGGCTTAAGCAACAACATTCAACTGTCACTGTACAGTTTCTTTATTCTTATTTTTCTGTTTCAATTTTTCATTTTATTCTCTCTTTTTATCAAAATTTTTGCTCCCCACATTTTTCCATGACTCTTGTTTGGAGTAATATGTGCTCCCGAGATATAAGAACTCCTATTTTTGTGTTAGAAACTTGCTTTATGTGTCTTTCTTTCAGGTTACATTGATATGTGCTTGTGCGACTCAGAGCCCCCTCAAAGGAGTGAATATTTATTTCAGTATTTGCATTTGTTTAATATGTATTTCACACATAATTTTGGTAAGTATTGGTTTATTCATAGAATCTCTTATTTGTCAGTTTCTTTGTAATATGTTTTCACGCTTATTCCTCCGAGATAGTAATGTTGCAAGAAATGTCATTTTTTCATATACATCTTCAAACACCTAGATAAGAAAGAAAATTATAAAATAAATATCTTAAAACATTATTTTGTGGCTAAAAATTGTTAAATTCATTGTTACATTTTGTGGTAAGAATCAGGCTTGGTATTTGCTAGATTCTGTTTTTTTTTTATGAAACACTTCATCTAATTTATTTTTCTGCCCTTATTGGTTAAACCTACAACTGAATTTCATCACAAAAGGATTTTTCATTCATGTCACCTATTGTAATAAGGTTCAATGTTAACCTTTAAGTATATTAATTATATGCCCCCTTGTGTCACAGCTGTATGTCTGTGGACTTACAATGCTAGAAACTGGGTTTTGATACCCTTGGTGGTCAGAGCACAGATAGCCCATTGTGTAGCTTTGTGCTTAACTTCAAACAAACAGATATTAACTGTGAAAACATGTAAATATTTAAGTGTAAAATGAAATAAAAAATTACAAATCTGTAGTTCGTAATTCATTACATAGTGGTATTTTAATAGAAATAATTACTGAAACAACTACACCCTGCAATTTATTTTACAAGTTCTGGATTACTACATGTTTCACACATTATCTGGTACTTTTTTGTGCTGTAGTGATTTTATCCAGCAGCTATAAGATTGAAGCAATATAGAAATCCTTCATTGTCACTTTTTAACCTAATATTTGAAAATTAAGTGTATTCATCAAAACTGGAAAGTAACAGAGAAAATAGTGGCTCCATCTCTTTAATTTACAACACACTGCCAAGTGGTAGATTAAATCTTAAACCAATTGAGAAAAGTAAGATAGTCAGCTACATATTAACTCTCTCCACATGGGCTTGGTCAATTTAACTGACCACATGACCTTTTTGTACTCATATAAAGTCTTTATAGATTTGATACTACTAACTTAATATAGTGTGTATATATCTTCACTAAATTTGACAGTCTTTCAGTAAACATTATAAGTCTTTCACATAAAAAAAATCATATTTTATAGTAAAGTATTTTTAATAAACTGAAAAAGATTTGTCCTAGAATATATCGAGTATTTGTTTTGAATAATCCGAGTGCAAAGTGATTTTCATGTTAAGATTAAATATACTTTTCTTCATCTCAAAAATCCCAAATTTCATTTGTGTAATCTCTAAAACCTCCTAAACACATTTCACATGTTTGTTTTCAGTAAAACTTTATATTTGCTGTTATTTTCTCTACCCTAACTCTATACAAAGTTGATCACCTCGTAACCACCTCCCTCCCCAATATAAATAAATCTAAATTACCCTCCTTTTCTTGTAGAATGGCTTAAAATGTAGTATGAAACTAAATTCGTTTATCTTAAGTAGGCCTTAAACTCATAACAGTATCCATGAATTTGTAATTAACTTTATTGTTTTATTGCCCTTTGAACCGTATGTAACTACTATTCTCACCATTATAAATTGTAAATAACTTAGAGAATGTGCAGCTCATTTTACACTACAGAAGCTACTACCTGCTCGTGTTTGGCCTCGTGAACCATTTTAATTATATTATCATTATTATTACTTATTTTACATAATCTAACCTAAAGAAATATATATTTCTACATTTTAGTTACTTTTATAATAATAAATAAAGAATAAACATGAAAAACAAGAAATAAGTTACTTACCCAATTTTCTTTATTATTGCTGTCAATTGTCAATGAGTTTTAACCCTAAATTTTTACTACTAATGGTAGTGGTGTATTAAATAATTTTTATTTAATTAAATAGTGCACCAAAGAACATAGACTAATAAAATGCTAAAAGCAGAAAATTTCCCCTAACTCAAAATTTTTCTGGCTATCTAACTATGTGACAAGAGCCGTTACAAATTCATTCAAGCTAATCGTTAACTTTCCCACGGGAACAAATCTTGTACTCTGAGTGAAATTAACGATATTCTGTTCAGAACACAACGTTATACAATACATCATTTGATAGATGAAAACCTTGATTTTCTATTGGTTAAATGTAATATATAATTAAATGTAAGAGAGAACTGTTAACAAATCCTGAAAGAGAGGATATGACAGATGGGTGTGGTAGGAGGTGTCTGATTTTCTATTTGATAGCTCTGTAACCAAACAAAACCGAAGGCTCTAAAAATTATGGTTTGTCTGAGTAATGACCAATTTATAGTGAGTAATTTACGTTTAATTTTGTAGTTTTTTGGGGGGAAGGATAAAGTAGAGATGAGACAATTCCTATTATTGCCTTCTAAAATTAAGAACTTAAAACTTGTATACTATCAAAATATGGATTATTAGCTAAGATTTTATACTATACTAAT